GGATGGAATGTGAGGATTGAGCCCTCAAGAAGGGGCCTTGCCATGATGTACATGTTCTGGGCTAAGGCCCCAGCAAGCCTCGTGCCCGGCCTAAGTGAAGGCGGGCCAGCAAATCAACAAGAGCCCTCTGTGCAAACATTTCACGAAGTGGGGTCCATACAGCTGCAGCACGCCAGTTGGTTGGAGTGCACCGAGTCTCGAATCTCTGCAAATGTGGAAATCTCAGGGCCTCTGAGTTAGTTAGGCCCTGGGCACTTGAACGTGAGGCCGACAATTCATGCTGGGTATAGAGGCCGAAAATGCCAAAGGGAAATCGGCCCTCTATCTGAATCTGGACGCAGGCCTTGACAAAAGAGGCGCAACTGCATCACCCGGGCCCCAACTGCATCGGGCCTGGGTTCAGGCACTGGGGCCCAGTCGCAGGCTAAAGGGAGGCCGCCCACACGCAACACTGGCATATAGGCAAGCAGGGCGAGTGGGCAGGGATCTTTGGCCAATGCGGGCATTGCCAGCAGGCTGCGCGAATTCGAGCTGCTGCGCAGTGTAAAGCTGCGTTGGGCAAAGGGAGACAGACAACGCTAATGCGGTGGTGCGCTGTTTGGGCGCAGGGCGCTGGCAGCCATAGCCAGGCTGCATGAGGGCGCAGGGGAGGTGAGGGCGAAGGTGGTTCTTCGGAGGTGAAGGGCGCTGTGTGGGTAACAAGGGAGAGTGTGGGTGAAGAGGACACGTACCTGGTGGAGGTGGAGGTCGGCATTGGTGTTGACATCATCACTTGATTCTCTGGTTGCTTTCATTGCTGTAGTTGTAGGCTTAGGCTGTACAGTAGATAGCGCGCCTGGCGCCATTCACAAGAGAGAGCTTCATTGGGTTATGCTGTTGGTGTTGCCCTGTTGGGCTTGGACATTGACTCACGATTCTTCTGTATCATTCTCAAATGGATGGTTACTCAGTTCCATTGTGCTATCTGCTCTGGCTTTGACTACTTGGACTTCAGTGTGATTTTGCAATCTGGATTTCTGTGCCTGGATTGCAATCAGATGGAGAAGAAGACTACGGATTGGGTTGCTGGTTTATCCCTAGGAGAAGAAGAGGAGGCACTAATGTATGTGCCCAGGGAAGAACAGGAGGCGGCCATGAGAGAGTGGGATGCAGAAGAAGACCCACTCAAGCGGCAGGCTATAGAAGATGAGAAGAGGATGGAATGGAAGTTCTGACTGACGAGGGAGAAGAAAAGGAGAATGGAGGCGGCGAAAGAATTGGAGGAGGTAAAGAAGCAAAGAGCGTAGATGGCAACGCAGGTGGACCTACTGGGGAAGATGGAGATCATGGCGAGAAACATAGAGCGCCTGGCCCAGGTCCAGGAAGAACAATATCTGTTTGGTAGAGGTCGGGACATTGCCTTGCGCTCTATACGGTCGGGACTCAGGGACTTTGCCAGGGAATTAGCGACGCAGGTAGGCTCAAAGGTGAAGGCCCGCCTAGAGGGCACTAAGCGTTATTGCACGAGCGCCATAGAAGGCACCAGACTGACTGCTCCCAAGGAGGCGGAAACACGTCCCCGAAGGGAGCCTGTCAAGGTCAAGTTCTCTGACTCCTATAGCGGGAAGAAAGAGGAAAATTTTGACAATTGGGAAGCCAATGTCAAAACCTATGTACATTTGCAGGTCTCCCCGGACGAGCATGTCCTTATAGCCGTCCATGCCCTCCGAGACGAAGCAGCAAGCTTTGCCCGTTCCTTGTGCCGCGCTGCCAACTGTAATGATGATTTAATCGCTTATTCTGCATTCACTCCACTCACTGACTTCCTTAAGTTATTGCACGAACGATTCACAGATGTCTCACGCAGTGTCAAAGCCTCCGATAGATTGCAAACCATCCACTCACGTCAGTGGAAGAGTGCGAGAGCACTCAAGGGGGTGATGGACGAGCTAGTCGTCGTCCCGGACCATGGGGTCACTGAGACCGAACTGCTCAACCTCTTCTATCGTGCAATGCCCGAACAGCTGCGCGGACATTTCTTTGAGAAAAGTCAGCAGCCTACCATGACCTACGACGCTTTGAGCAGGGAAGTGGTAGCCTTTGAAGTGCGGTCCATGTCAATCTCCACTTTTTGGCATAAGGACCTAGACAAGGGCAAAAAATGGAAAGGTCGCACCATCTCAGGACTGGTCAAGAGCAAGGATCGCTTGATCCTTACTTTAGCTGAGGGTGGTGTAGACGAAGTCCCCTACGAGCAGATTGAGTGGGGGCTTGAGGAAGAGGACAGTAGCGTTAGTTAGGGGAGGACCTACGCTGCTGTCGCGGCTGGAGGGAGGCCGCAAGGAGGAGGTAGAGGCCAGGGCCAAGGGGGTCAGGCCTCAGGGGCCGTTCCCAGAGCGATCAGGGGGTTGGCGGTAGAGGAGGAAAACGCCAAGCGGGAGGCAGGGGTCAAGGTCCCCCGCAAAACCGTTCGGGGAATGGGTCGCCTAATAGAGGGAATAGGTCACCGAATAGGGGAAACAGGGCACCCTCTTGGAGAGGCGGTTGGCACCCAGGGCTGCCACAGGGCCGACCTTGGGAAGCTTGCGCCTGGACCAGCGCTTATGGCAACAGCGTGTGGATCAGAGGCAGTGCATATATTGCAGTGACCCTGGCCACATCATCAAATATTATCCAAAGTATAGAGAGGCCCGTTCGGCTGCCCAGGGGTCAAAAGGCAACCGCCGGTAGGGGTAGCAACTGCCCCTACCACAAGGCCATGTGGGGAAGCGAGCGCAAGCCGGCAAGAAACTCCCACACCACATGTGCCAATGGCAGAGGTTGCAGGTCGGTGCCTAGATATTTGTCCAGAGACTGCTTGTGTTAGAGTCTCTCTAGGCACTTCCCTGACAGGCGTGGCCGATGAGTTAAAGGAGAGAATGCCCGCCTGGGCCAAGATGAAGAAGGAGAGTAGGGGACAACTAGTTTTAGTAGACATAGAGATTTTCAGAGGTAGAGTAGGGGCCCTAGTAGATAGTGGGGCCACGCACAGATATATTAGTAGAAAGGCGCTGCAGAAGTTGAAGTTGGGGCTAAAAGTCCAGAAGTTGACAGACCCCATCGTGAGTATCCTCGCAGACAATCGCACAATGCGAGTAGAGGATTACGTAGAGGGAGTCCAAGCATACTTTAGCCTAGAAAAAGATGGGAAAGTGGAGAAAGTTCTCCATTCCCTGACTCTCCTCGTAGAGGACAACCTTCCCTTCGATATAGTCCTAGGAATGGACTGGGAAGAGGCAGCCGGGGCCACACTCCATTTGAGAGAGCACGAGTGTAGGCTCCCTAGCTCGTTAGGCGGGATCAAGACGGCCCGTCTGTTTCATGTATCAAGAGTAGACAACTCCCTGGCACATTGCTGCCTTAGCACTTCTGCGTTCGCGAGGTTAGTGAAGAAGGAGCAGCTAGGAGAACAGGTTGTCTAGCCTATGTTAGGCCAGTTACTGAGCCTAAAGAAGAAAAGCCCATAGATCCCGCCATTGCCAAATTGTTGGAAGAGTACAGAGATCTAGCTAAGCCGCCTACAAGGGTAGTCCCGCAGCCCATCCAACATCGCATTGAGAGTGAACCTAACAGCAAGACTCCTAAAGGAGCAGTGTATCGGATGTCCCCGCGGGAATCGGAGGAGTTGTGCAAGTAGTTAGATGAAATCCTAGAGAAGGGTTGGATTAGGCCCAGTTCGTCCCCATTTGGAGCACCTGTTCTATTTGTCCCCAAGGAGGAGGGAGAGCTTAGAATGTGCATTGACTATAGGGGTCTCAATGCTATCACAGTGAAGAATGTGGAGCCACTGCCCCGTATAGATGATCTTTTAGATTGGGTGCAGCGTTGCAAGTATTTTTCAAAGATAGACATGAAGTTCGGATATCGTCAGATAGAGGTCCATCTTGATGATCAGTATAAGACCGCGTTCCAAACTAGATATGGGCACTACGAGTTTATAGTTATGCCCTTTGGACTAACCAACGCGCCAACAACTTTTCAGCGTTGTATGAATGACTTGTTTAGGCCATGGTTAGACATGTTTGTAGTAGTCTACTTAGATGACATTCTAGTGTTCAGTAGGACCCTCGAGGAGCATGAGGGTCATCTAAGGCAGGTCTTGGAGAAGCTCAGAGAGGCTAACTTCAAGATCAATGCAAAGAAGTGCGAACAGCCCGGCCGGTTGGGTCCCCCGGTTCGATGCCGGGCGGGCCCAGCGCATTTTTGCGCCGGGGGGGGGAGAGGCCTGTTTCGACATTTCTGGGCCTTGGGAGCCTCCCCGCCCCCCCTCCCGCTTCAAATTTGAAGCATCTCGCCCCGTCGCACTCCCAGCGTCGACGCCCGTTGCTGCCCGCCCCGTCGACGCCCGTCGCTGCTCCCGCCGTCGACGCCCGTCGCTGCCCGCCATCGCCGAGGTGCGTGTCGTCACTGTCGCCGCCGTTGCCCGTCGTCGTCGATACGGTGCCGTTGCGCGAAGTGCCACGTGTCAGCTCTCTCTCTCTCTCTCTCTCTCTCTCTCTCTCTCTCTCTCTCTCTCTCTCTCTCTCTCTCTCTCTC